TTTTTTTTGAGACAGGGTTTCTCTGTGGTTTTGGAGCCTGTCCTGGAACTAGCTCTTGTAGACCAGGCTGGTCTCGAACTCACAAAGATCCGCCTGCCTCTGCCTCCCAAGTGCTGGGATTAAAGGCGTGCGCCACCACCGCCCGGCAATAACCCTCCATTTCTATTTTCCTGATTTGGGACTATTTCTCTTTGTGCTCAGGATTGGAGCCTGTGGAACCATGGAAAATTCTCAGTGGGGAGTGAATGAAGTCATTGCTATCTTTATAAGTCAAGGCAAAAAAGTCAGACCATCTGATAAGCAGAGACCGCAGGCAGGCAGAACTATCACTTATATCTAAATATAGCAAACAAGCAAAAAGAACAAGTTATCTTTTAGATTAGTATTGCCCAAAGGATTAAGTGAGAGAAACCCACAATCCGTAAAATTAACTTGGTAGCCACTTTAAAATATGTGTGTGTGTGAAGTACTTTATTTTAATCAACATATTCAAAATACCATTTCAATATGAACTTGATATAAGTTTCAACATAGTGATTACATTTTTACTGCCCCCTCTTTATGTGTGTGGGTGTTTTGCCTGCATGTATGTCTGTGAATCACTTTCACATCAGTGCCCGTGGAGGCCAGAAGAAGCCATTGGATCCCTTGGGACTGGAGTTACAAATGGTTGTGAACTGCCATGTAGGTGCTGGGACTCAAATCCAGGCCCCTTGGAAAAGCGGCCAATGCTAATAACACCGAGCCATCTCTCCAGCCCCGTACTGGCCATGTACAGGGGCGTGGCTGTAGCTATACTGCAGTGGCCAAAGCCTCAGGTATTTGAGGTGGGTGGGGTGGTGAGCACACAAACTGCCCTAGCAGAGATTCCTAGAACTTTCTAAGGGAGTCATTTCCTCTTCCAGCTCCTTCAGAATTGCTGTGTCCATGCCCTGATTCTCCTTTCTGGAGGTGATGATTAACAGAGGCTTCCTGGAGGGGAGGGAAGTCACTAGGGCCTTCCTCTGGGAGCCCAGCCTGACAGGTGAGGCCCACAATAAGCTCCAAGTTGGCTGTGGGAGGGTGTTGCCAGAGGCAGCCACAAAGTCCCAAAGGTTATGAATGGCAGCGACCCACAGGGAATGCTGGCCTCATTCTTCTTGCTCTGCTTCAGGGGCAGCTGGCTTCCCCTGAAAAGCTGAAGAGGTCCAGGGGCATAAGGATGCTTTCTCTGCCCTCTTGATTAACTGGGCACAATAACAAAAGGAAATAAAACTAAAAAGGAATTGCAGTCAGAAGGATAAGCTTCTAGGTTAGCAAGCCAGGAGAGAAAAAAAAGATAATAAATTTAGTTCCATTAGAGCCTTTAAAAAGGCAGAGGTCCAGTGACAGCCCCTTCTTGAGATGATAGGAGTGGAAATCCCAGACCCCAAGCAGCTGCAGGAATTCCACTGTAGGGAAAGAGTGGCCACAGGCAGACAGAGCACTGCTCACACTGAACCAGGCTATCTCCCTGCGAGCAGACTAAAGAAAGCTGTAAGGATGGAAAAATGCACGCTATAAATAAACCACCAGGCTGACAATAGTCCCCTGCAGTGTCCTCATCCCCTGCAGCGTCCCCAGTAACCCTGCCACGATCAACAGCTAAAAATGCTGAATAAAACAGCTATAAAAAAAACTATTTAAATGCACTTCAGAGCTGGTGAATAAGGAAAGAATCAGAGTAGGACCAGCAAAGACGGAAGCTTACACTTCTTCGACATCACTAACCTTACCCTTCGATGGCCACGGGGCTGCAGGAGGAAGGTGGTGTACACTCTCCAAGGAGGCTAAAGGGAAACCACTGTGCAACAGTGGAATCAGAAGAACTAGACCCTGGACAAAATACAGAAACTAACTCAGAGAGGAAAGGAAACCTGGCCCTTTGATCTTGGTTGAGGAGGAAAGATAAACGCAATCACAATCATAAGTCTATAAGCACAAAGCCAAGTCTTCTGTGGGTGTACAGCACAGATTTCATTCCCTACATGATCCAAACCTCAATTGAGGGTGTACTCAAGAGTGGCCTTAAGCCTTATGCATACACTAAAAAAGGACTGTATTTTTAAAAGATGGTTTAAAGAGGCAAATCCACCCACCTCCACATAGCAGAGGATAACG